GGTTCTCCAAAATGATATGTTACTATGCTAATATTCTCCCTTGAGACTTGCTATGTTCCTTGCCCCACTTGGCTTTTTACATTTAAAAAGAAAAAGAAAAGAAAAAAGAACAACTTGCCTCCAGAAGTTGTAAATGCTTCAACATTGGAAGTTTTTAAGAAAAGATTAGATAACCATTTGTCTGAAGTGGTGTAGGATTTCCTGCCTAAGCAGGGAGTTGGACTAGAAGACCTCCAAGGTCCCTTCCAACTCTGTTATTCTATTCTGTTATTTCCAAACAGAGAGCTACAAAGTCCCTTCATCAGCTTTATTTCCAAAAATGCACCCCATATGTTTTTATGGAAAACAGAAATAATGTGCACCTGTGGCCCTGTTCTTCTCTTCCCCCCCCAAAAAAATATATAGAGAGTTGCTCAGAAAAAAAGATAGAGATATGCAGTTGTCATTCTGTAAGAGATGATGCTAGAGGAAAAGGCAGGTGGCATCCTGATAAATCGGCACATTTTCATCTTAGCATATTTTGTGAACTCAGTTATTGTGGTTTATAAACTTTGGTTTTAGGGATTAGTACAATGTGTGAACCAAGCCAATCAAGGGTCTTCCACAAATCTTGACGAAGCCAATTATGGTTTACCACAATATGTAAACAAGATCATTTTTCATCCTGTTTTTTTCTTCTTCTGCAGGTTCCTTGGATTATTTGAATAGTTCAACCTTAACTTTTCTATTGCTTCACACTGATCCACCTATCTATCCTTTCAGTACAACTTGCCAAACAAAGTTGTATTCGGATGGGTTGAAGGCAACAAGATGTTAGTCATGTAAGAATGAGTCCCCCTGTTCTAACAGCTGCCACCTCTTTGCCCACTGCTCAACCAAGGCAGCGCCAAAGTAAATGCTCAAGAGAGCCATTACAAAGATACTTCATCCCTTCCTAGCACTGCCAACAAATCTTTTAAAAATGCACTCAAAATTAAAGGTAGAAAAAACAATCAGGCTTGTCTTTTAAATGTCACCCATCATTCACTTGCTATCTCATTTCCCCTCCATACAATTATCCTCCATCTACTTCTAATTCCTATTATTCCCCTCAAATTTAAAAGAAAATGAACAGGGCTCAGGAGAAGCCTTAATCACCCGGCTGTGTTCTATGAAAAGACAGGATAAGCAAACTAAATAGGAGTTATGTTACTATTTTTAGGCACTGAGTACTATTCAAATCTTGCTTCAGTTGCCATGGAAGTGTTCCAAAGGCTTATTATAGTTGTTTTTGAAAAGAATTTATTCCAAGAAAATCTATGTAACCAATTAATGCTATTTCAGGTAAACTGATATGGAGGGGAAAGTGTTTTTCTGCTCTAATGGGTAATGTAGGCCTTGGAAAGACACTCAAAACAATGTTATTCTTGTTGACTGACTTGCTCCAGGATACCAAATGGGACTTGCAGAGGTACTTCAAATGGACTACTTCCAATTCACTCCTCACAATACTTGGAGTGCATATATTAGAACTTCTTGTAGGTCTCTGCAGCCAACAAATTACTTCAGTCAAGAAGGAATTTTAAAAGCTTAGATTATCAAGTGGAAATCTGGGGTTTCAAGACCCACACCATAAAGTCGCACTACATACTTTTCCATAGAATTTGTATTTATTATTTGGGCACTGAATAGTGCCCATTTAATGGAATATGCAGACATGACTTTTCAAAAAAGTTATCATTAAAGGACCGTAAGGATAATAACCATACAACCAGATTAGAATCTACAACTACTTTGACTGCTTCCATCATTCCTAGTCATTTACTGTCTTGGACTATTTTTTCTGGAGTCACCTAGAAAGTAAGTTAAAATGGTTTATATTCTCTCAGTCATAGAGCTACCATTATAATGCATTTCCATATGCAAAAATAGGTCTTTTTCCACTAAACCTTTCATAGAGCTCTCATTCTTCTTAGTTCTAATGCAAGTCAGCAGACTGGGCTTCTTTCTGTTGATCTCTAGGCTATTTTAATCTAAGTGTTTTAAAGTAAGAATGGGTTTTACCATCTACGCCAAGAAATACTACTGAATTTCAGTGCACTTATAAGCTTGCACCTTATTAGTCTAGTGACCAAATAACATAAACATGTAACTACATGTATCTGCACACAATGACAGCCATGCTTGGATAAGTTCCAGGTGACGAGCCCTTTAGTATTAAAAAGGAGAACAGTTTGAGGCAATCTTTCTCAAGACTTCTAGGCAATTGGAACTAAATTTGGGAAGAGATCCGGGTACCATGTATGTATCTACTCCAAATATTTTATATGACAGGTTTCCTTGGAGATTTTGGGGTTCTTAGCATGAAAACCTGAAATGGGGTATAACTGAGGACCCTGACAAGAAATTATCTTGAAAGTCCTGCTAAACCAGGAGCCTGGTTTAGCTCAACAGACAGAAGCCCTGTAATTTAACACCGGCTGTCTGCAATTAAAATAAGATCGAATCTCGCCAGGCTCAAGGTTGACTCAGCCTTCCATCCTTTCTAAGGTCGGTAAATTGAGGACCCAGTTTGTGGGGGCAATAAGCTGACTTTGTATAAAAATATACAAAAGTATGAAGGCTATTGCTTAACGCACTGTAAGCCGCCCTGAGTCTCCAGAGAAGGGCGGCATATAAATCAAATAAAAAAAAATTTAAAAAAATTATTCTAACAAGCCGTTTTCAGATCTTAACAATTTTATACCAAGAGTACCAGGACAAGAGTGGATATCCTTGCCTTTCTGTACCCTAGAATACCTCCTTCCCCAGCATGCTGCCCACACCATGTGTTATAATGTGTAACACATCTCTCTATCTCTAGCTAGCTAGCTAGCTAGCTATCTACCTAATACATTATCATGATGATATATGCATTCAGTTGTGTCGGACTCTTGGAAATTGTATGGGCCTGGTCTCTCCATGTCTTCTGATCTTGCATTATTTCTGTGAGTTGTTCTATGCTCTGGCTGGTGTCAGCTTTGATGGTGATGTAATATATAAACCTGTTTAACAAATAACATATAGTATTTCCGAGCAAGTATAATCAAAGGCCATCAAGGCCATCAATGCAACATGTTCAGTGGACAACAGATAAAGCTGGTCTTCAGAATAGATAAAATTTAGAAATATAATCAGAGCAGCATATGAAGTAATCTATAGTAGCAAGTAGTAACATATCCATACTGTTTATTCATTAAGAGAGGTAAAAGCTCTTTACTAAAGTTTTGGCCCAGCATAGATCATTTGCTGCTTTTAAGAGCATCTATTCTGATCGGAATGATTACTCGTCACTATAATATATCAATGAAGATCACAAATACATAAGGAACAAAACCCATAACAAACTTCAGCGCTTCCCATCATGCATGATCCATTAAATCTTCCTCATTGTTTATTCATTCAATATTTAGGGTTGCATACTAAAGAAAACATTAACGGCCCATTAGATATATACCCTCAAGTGCCCTCTTGCCTGGCTAACTGAAATGAAGCTTAGATTTCAGGAGTTTTATCAACAATAATCTTGGAACACTCTTCTATGATTTTCATGCATACTTTAGCACTGCATTTTCTCTACATTCAAAATGTTGAAAGCTTATTATTATTTCAGGTCTATGTGAATAATGGTAGAACTTTGATCTAAGAAGACAGATTTATCCCTTAACAGATTTGCTAACTCTACAATTCAAGGTGAATATGTGCAATGTACCCCTTGAAAAGTCAACTTGAAAATCATGCAAATTCTATGTAAATGTGGAGATCTTTTATTTGTATAATTTTGGGTTGGATTTAGTACTTTACAGCAATTTTTTTAAAACTCCATCTTGTATGTCAAGAAAACTGTTTGATCAGGCGGTTAAAAGTGGCCAATGAAAAGTTTTTATCTTCAGACTTGCAAGATGGATGTCAGCCTTCCTGGATAAACTAGATTAAAAATCATGACTAAGTGAGCTAAATCTACTTTTATTGTAAGGCTACATTAACAGAATCTTGTGAGTCTGAAGATATAAACTTCCTTCCAGCACTTTTAATCACCTGATCAATTAGGCTAAGTCTTTCCTAAATTTTTTCCTCTGACCAATAATCCATTGGGGGCTCCTCCCACTCTCATCTGATTGATTCCTAGGCATTTCTTCCCTTCGTCCCCCAAAGTTATCCACACATTTCATTGCAACGCCTTCCAAGGAAGGATATCTCATGTTCCATTATTTTATCAAACCTTTTAATGAAGTATATTAACATTTAATGTCTAGACTGCTCCTAACCTTTTAACCAATTGATAATCCTTGCACGTTTTTAATCCTATTATATATCATCTTAATTTAAAATTGGCAAATTTTGCCATCTGGTCAGTTATCCTGAGAAAACTCTCTTTGGAATGGCAACATACAAGTAATTCGCATAATGACAAGGGGGATGATCAGAAGCATGACATGAATGATCCATGAAGAGATTTAATAGAAATTGGCCATGTGATTTTTTTTCTATCCTGAGATTTTATTAAAAACAACTGCATAGTTGGGTATACATGACATTTCAGACATCTAATGAACTGCAATTAGAGTTCATAGATACCCTTCCAAGTATGTATATACAAGCACCATTTTCACCATCCCCCCAAAAAGGTATTATGCTTCTCAAGCGACATGTAACATTTCTATCACTTGTGTTTTACAATTCTGAATGCCATAGTACATCTTCCAGAATCTATTGCTAACAAAGAACTAGGGACATTCAAATTGAGAATGTTCTTGTTGCAAGCAAGTAATTCTGAGACTGTCTGGATGCCAAGTAAACATTTCCCCAGGAAAGGGAAAACAAGTGAAAAACCATCTGCTTGTTTCTAGTTTCTCCTGTGAAGTGGGCTTCCTGCCAAGTAGTCATTAGAGTAATTAAGGGGGAAAACAATCTAATATATTCATTATGTAAATGAATGACGAAGATTAAAAGGCAATGAGAGAGGAACTAAATATAAATACCTCTGTTTCTCGCAGCATCCCATGGTCTAAGCAGACCATGTCTGGACAAGTGATGGGAGAACCACACCCTTCACGGATGGCCAGCTGCATGTATTGTTTTAGACACTAAGGAAGAAGAAATATATAAGTTATAAATCATATGTAAATTATAATATGTAAGCATTATATTCCAATGGATGGAAACTAATCAAGGAGAGAAGCAACCTAGAACTGAGGAGAAATTTCCTAATGGTGAAAACAATCAACCTATGGAATGGCGTGCCTTCAGAAGTTGTGGATGCCCCACCACTGGAGGCTTTCAAGAAGAGACTGAACAGCCACCTGTCTGAAATGGTATAGACTCTCCTGCTCATGCACAGAATTGAACTAGATGACCTCCAAGGTCCCTTCCAACCAGTGGTGGTTTGCTCACAGTTCGGTCCGGTTCTTACGAACCGGTAGTAAAAGTGGTGGGAGGCTCCGCCCACCCACCCTGAAATCATCATCGGTGATCTGAGCATGCACAGAAGCTTCTGTGCATGCGCAGAAGTGCGCATGCGAACAAAGCGAGCGCCTGCGCATGCTCCCATTGCAAACCGGTAGTAAAGGTAAGTAGAACCCACCCCTGCTTCCAACTCTGTTATTCTATGTCCTATGTTCTAAGTTATAAACCATTATACTAGCTATTCCACTAGCTATTGGAGCCAACTCACCTTTTTCAGCACCATTGTAATTTTGACTATTAATCAAATAGTCATAAGTCAAGGATTCTCTCTCTGTTACTATGGAAGGATTGGTAGACTTTTTGATTAATAGGGCAAAGAGTTAGACTTTAGAGAAGGACAAAATTACTTTATTTCTATTGGTTGCCAACTAATGGATATACAAGTTCATATAGTCAAACTATAGCTAATAGATAAGTACTGTATAGCTGACAAACTGAAATATCAGAAAGCAACTACTATATGTTGTTGAGATTGGGTGGGAGCTCTAGACTACCCTAATAACATTACATGAGGAGAGGAAATGAGACCCAGGACCTCTCTGGGAAGCATCCATGGATAAGGCAATTCTCACTACCCAAGAGCCAAATCATTTCAGTTATACTTTCAATTCAATTACATGTATTAATCTAGGCACAGATTAGTTATTTAGGGCTTTGCATAGTCTAGATCAGGGCTCTCAAATTTGGCAACTTTAAGAATTACGGAGTTCAATGCCCACAATTCCCCAGCCAGCTACTATAATTCACCTGTTGCTGGGCCTGCTCTGTGGAACATGACCCTGGAGATTCAGGTGGCCCAGGGCAAGAAATATTTTCCTTGTTTTCATTTCTGGTATTTTTCTTTTAATGGGGTGGATATAATTTGCATAAATTAATGCATGGATATACTTAGCAGTATAAAAACATTATTCAGTAATAACTCTGAAGCAAATGCATGAAATTAAAGATGAAGATCTACACAAGGGTTCCCAATCTTGGCAACTTTAAAACATGTGGACTTCACTCAGCATTAGAATAGAATTTAGAATAGAATTCTTTATTGGCCAAGTGGGATTGGACACACAAGGAATTTGTCTTAGGTGTATATGCTCTTAGTGTACATAAGGAGAATAAAATACATTCATCAAGAATAAAAAGATACAACACTTAGTGATAGTCAAGGTTACTAATAAGCTATCAAATCGTACTAGGAAACAAATAAACACAATATAATTGAAAGGTACAAACAAAATGGTTATAGTAATAAGTGGGAAGAGATAGATACTAGTAAAGAAGAGAGGAATAATAGTAATACAGTCTTAGTAAATTATTTGACAGTGTTGTGGGAATTAGTTGTTAAGCAGTGTGATGGCATTCGGGGAAAAACTGTCCTTGTGTCTAGTTGTTTTGGTGTGCAGTGCCCTATAGTGTCTTTTTGAGGGTAGAAGTTGAAACAATTTATGTCCAGGATGTGAGGGGTCTGTAGATATTTTCTTATTTTAATTAATCTTGGTTAAATTGCCAAGATTGGGAAGACTAGTCTATAACCTTGATAAGAAAAGCATTTCTCATGTTTTATTTATCCTTTCGATAATTTCATTTTAAAAAATCATTCACATATGTTAATACTAATTTGTTAATATATTCATGTCAAGGAAGTACCATGCTTGCAATTTTCAATTAAAGTTAGATAAGTTCACTGAATAAGGGTTCTGAATTCCCATAAGTAAATGAACTGAATTCTGATTTTTTTAAAGCTTTTATGATGAGCATTTAAACACTCTCTTGCAATATAATTATGACTATCAGAGATATAAATGTAGGTTGAGATTTAAGATGAGCTGGGAAACATGAACTGGGAAATTGATATCCCACAAATCCATCTCTATTTTGTGGAAATTACACCTAATCCATAGTATTAAATACACATTCAATGTTAAGTATTTTGTATTACATAAAGTCCTATAATAGTTGGTGTTACGAAATGTTTACTTATTTTGTCATATTTAAGAACCGCCGATCTCCCTCACATAAGGTGTTCTGATCTTATAACTTCACTATAAACTGCTTCATCAAGTATCACAAAAGCTACTATTTAAAAGACTTCTATATGCTCAGTGGCTAAGATGCTGAGCTTGTTGATCGAAAGGAGACGTCTTCAGAGAGCACTGGCTCTTCAGCTTTAAAACAGAAATGAGCACTGCCCCCTAGAGTCGGGAATGACTAGCACATATGTGCAAGGGAAACCTTTACCTTTATACATTATATTCTCCCACAGAAGTGCTACCGTAAACTAGGATTTTAAAAGGTACACTTCAGGGATTGCCCACATTTACAGAGTTTAACAGGAAATTTAAGCGGCATCTTTAGCGCAAAGTATGTTTTTCAGCTAAATACTAAATAATACCTCTTGGCAGCCCATCCTGATCAGAAATAGTCCAGGCAAGAGGCAGGCAACTGTTGTGTGCAAGAGGATGCGTTGAAAACAAGTCAGGGTTGCCAAGGGTTTGGTGGCTTGTTGCCTATTCACAAAATGGTTGTTACAGTAGAAGTGGCCCATCAGAAAACATCCATTAACTAGAAGGTAATCTGGTGAAGTTGCTCTTTGACACCCTCCCTATCTAAGTGAAGGACTGGGAGAGAAGGGGGAAGTCATGTTTAACTCAGCCTTGAGTTTAAGCAGTAACTCAGCCATGTTCCTTGTGTGTCCAATCACACCTGGCCAATAAAGAATTATATTCTGTTTTGTTCTATTCTATATAGGAAACTAAGCATTGCATTGGAGTCAAAGGTATAATGTATGAAGGAAGGTTTTGCTCTGTGCCTCATATAGGAGTTCTCTATCTTTCCCTCTGCCTAGTGTCCAGTGGTCATTCCACATTGTTTTGAGTTGACTTCACCCTTTCCATGTTGGTCTGTTCAACATTTATCTGTACCTTCCCCACCCCACATCAGTGGTGAGATTCAAATTTTTTTACTACCATTCTGTGGGCGTGGCTTGGTGGGCATGGCTTGGTGGGCGTGGCAGAGGAAGGTTACTGCAAAATCCCCATTTCTTCCCAATCAGCTGGGACTCGGGAAGCAGAGAAGAGATGGGGGCGGGGCCAGTCAGAGGTGGTATTTACCGGTTCTCCGAACTACTCAAAATTTTTGCTACAGGTTCTCCAGAACTGGTCAAAACCTGCTGAATACCACCTCTGGCCTCCACCCCCGGAGAGTTGTGAGTGCTTTGTCCATGTTTATAAAGAAACTGACATTGGTGGGACAAGTGAAGGAAGAAGCACAAATAACTTGCAGCTGATGACGATGAGGAAAGATTTAAGTGTACCACTTGCTGCCAAGCGTCTGCTCAAAATGTTCATTTTCAAAACCTTTAGGGATTTATTTGCACTGTAGCTCAACCCATCAGGTGAGGCGTTCAGATCTCATGGTGCTAACTAATGGCTTAAGAAGGCATTTTGTACTTCCTCTCACCTCAAATCCATCAAGGCCACTTTTAGATAATCTTCCTCGGCATTCAAAAACAAAGGGCTGGCTTGTTCAGGTCGCCATTTCAACTCATTACATTAACTATCCCTGTGATTCAACATTTTAAAAGGCTTCCAACTGATTTACTTCAACTCTTACACATTTTCAGAAAGCAAATGGAAAAAGGAAAAAAAAATGCTGTAGCAATATGGCAAATGTTAGTATGGAAGATAAAGGAAGTTTATACAAAACATAGGACTATATACCTGTATAAACAAACATACTTAGTGTGCTGTTTCAGATAGTGAGTCATAGTGAATTAGTTGCCTTAAGGATTAAGAGCTGTTTCCTTAAGAGATTGCATTGTGGGAGATGTAGAGAGAGATTGCATTATGGGAAATGTAGTCCATGACATGTGACCATATCTGTGTGTCTGATTGGCCACTGAGGCTCTCTGCCTGGATGCAGAACAAAGACCCAGCCATTTTCAACTACCACAGAAGAGAGAAGCATGCTTTCTGAACAGGGGGACAGAACTACCATCATTTTACACTAGGAAATGGGATAGATTATGAAATACTTGGATGAACCTCACCTTGACTCACCATGATTATAAGTCTGTTTTGAGGATACCCAAAATAAATATAATCTGCATGAAAACCTGTTTGCTAGAGTTTATCTGCCTGTTCCCAGTGGAGCCAGATGCCTGGAGAACAGAACACTTAGTTTATTGGGGGTAAGAGGCTACCCATGTAATCAGATGAGGGTCATATTGATCGTCCTCAGCTTACAACCATTCATTTAGTGACCATTCGGAGTTACGGCAGCACTGAAAAAAGTGATTTATGACTATTTTTCAAAGTTACAACCACTGGTCATGTGATCAAAATTTAGTTGCTTGGCAACTGGTTCAGATTTATGACAGCTGCAGTGTCCCAGGATCATATGATCACCTTCTGTGATCTTCTGACAAGCAAATCAATGGGGGGGCCAGATTCACTTAACAACCATGTTACTAACTTGACAAGTACAGTGATTTGCTTAACACCTGTGGCAAGAAGGGCCATAAAATAGGGCAAAATTCACTTAACAACAGTCTTGTTTAATTGTGGTCTTAAGTCAGTGACTTCCTGTACAACTTCTCCAGACTTCATTACAAAATAGTCCTTTTATT